AATCAAGTTTCATGACAATAATTCTATTGACACAACATATTAATTAAAGGTGCAACTGGATCCCAAGCAGCAATTACTAATCTTTCGGAAAGTTGGAGAGAATAACAAATATTTCTTCCTGCTCTGGATAATGAACAATCAAGTTTCATGACAATAATTCTATTGACACAACATATTAATTAAAGGTGCAACTGGATCCCAAGCAGCAATTACTAATCTTTCGGAAAGTTGGAGAGAATAACAAATATTTCTTCCTGCTCTGGATAATGAACAATCAAGTTTCATGACAATAATTCTATTGACACAACATATTAATTAAAAATGTCACGTTGATCACAACGGTGCCTACATAATGGTATCATATGACTCCATCAAATTATCTAAAGAAATGAAATTAAATACTTAAAACTGTGCTCAGTTTAATTAACTACTTCACTTACTGTGTCAAGGTAGAGCAGGACACTTGCAATAGACTGGAGAAAACTTGGCATCTGATAAACATGGTCATCAACAGTGTCTGTCTGGGTGAGGAACATTTGTTTGCAGCACTGGATGAGCTCAACATATATGAAGTCAACATCTTTTGCATTTATAACCTTGCAAGGCTTTAGGAAAGGTGAAACAGAAGTCTTAGCAAGGTCAAAATAATATTTAAGGTGTCATGTTAAGCCATGTGATTATAAACTGAATATAAAAAAGATCTTTAATTGAGAATACAGATATAAAATATAATACCTTATATAGATGCTTTTCATTATAATCTCTAATCACATTCTAAATATCTATTCATACATACAACACGTACTGATTGTCAGCTATGTTCTTGGCCCTATTTAGGCGGCAGGTATTAAAGACAAATGAGGCGCAGTCCCTGCCCCCACAAAGCTAGCCACCCAACGGAGACACTGAGGGCTTGAGCACGTGGCTAGACCTGCCACCACACCTTGCTCCACACCATGCCCACAGCCGTCTTTTCTAACTCATGAATCTGATAATGTAACTACCTGACTTCAGACTTTTCAAAGGCTTCTTTGGACTGGAGAATCTAGTTCAGACCCCTTGATGCTCTACCTGGTTTATCTTTTTGGAATCCTCTCCCTTTCTTCTTGTCTACTGTGCTCTGGCTACACTGTGAACATACCTAGCACAGAAACAAGCTGAAATGATCAGACATAGCATCTGAAGTAGAAAATTCCATGCTATCATCTACCTCTGAGGCTTCTCACATACTGTTTCTTCCACCCTATGTAAATTTAAAGCAGCCAATAGAGACAAATGGAGATGAAGATTTAACAAAAGAGAGAGAATGGCTGGCTGGTTAGCTCAGTTGGTTAGAGTATGGTACTGATAACACCAAGGTCAAAGGTTCAGATCTCCATAGCAGCCAGCTGCCAAAAAATAAAAAGAAAAGAGACAGAGTAGACATTGATGGACCAGTTTGTAGAAAGGAGGAAGGAAATTATTTTCTCTGTAAAGTAGAAGTCACAGAAGGGCCGGCCCGGTGGCGCACTGCTACAGTGCGCCGCTTGGGAGTGCGGTGTCGCTCCCGCCGAGGGTTCGGATCCCACATACAGACCGGTTTCCGCTCACTGGCTGAGCGAGGGGCGGGCGCAGCACCGAGGGTTGCGATCCCGTTGCTGGTCCCGGCGCGACACTGAGGGTTGCGGTCCGTTGCCGGACACGAAAAAAGACAAAAAGGAAAAAAAAAAAAAAGAAGTCACAGAAATCCACAAAAAGGGAAATAACTAGTGTTATTCGTAATATTTTTAAATATGTATCTTTTTGTCATGTGAACTTCTAAAACTTTGAAAGAAATCCCCTATAATTTTGCTTAATAAATAAAAAACAAGGGACAGCATGACATAGTGGAAAAAAACAGTGTTTCTAGTCCTCAGACTTGGATTTACATCTTGGTTCTGTCCATTCTCTGTGTCCTTCGGTAAATTACCTAATTTCTCTGAGTCTCAGTTTCCTCATCTGTATAAGAGAATAACACTCGGCTTGTGGGAGAGTTATGAAGATTAGAGATAATGCAGATAAAGAATACTAGTATACAAAAGACAATGAAAAAACCCTTAACTGTTTATAAAACAAATAACAATAATATTGTCACAAGTATGAGACACTATTCAAAAATGCAATAAATTACATTCCTTTAAAACCCTCAAGTGAAACCAAAAAGATAAAATAGAGGAAATTAATGAGCCATACTCCTGCAAAAAGTCCATATCCACGAATAGCAATAGATAACTTCTTGTTTGAATCCATATTTCTGATGATTCCGTAGAACTGTTCCATAAAGTACTGCAACTTACTCTTATGCATATCTGCGTCTTTTGCCACCATAGAAGAAACCTGCAATTGCATAATATTTACATTTTAGAAATATTTAATAACTAAGCAAAGGAATTTATACAAATATAAGAAAGCTAGAACTGTTTATATACTACTGTGTACTGCTATAGTTATATACAATTGCTCTAACTCACAAACTAGTTTTTGAAAAAATAAACTCCAAACTATAAAGTTTAAATTGAGATAAGGGAAAAAAGTACTTTGAGAAGCAAATAGATTACTGTCTACCAAATCAAGCAACAACAGCCTAAATACAAGAACTAAACAGCCAAATACAAGAACTAAACATGGGTGTTCAAAAGAGCATTCCTAATTTCAACATAAAACCTGTCCAGGACAAGAATGGAAAGAACCTAGATAATTACCAAAGGCACACACAAAAAAATCCACCTTCAGTTGCCAAACAACCAATACACTTCTTAATCCTACCCAACACTGTCAGGCCCTAGGGTATGTCCCTCCAGGAACTTTACTCCCAATTTATTTTAGAAGAATGAAATATCATACGTTCTGCTTCATAATTTCCTTTTTCACAAAATATACCATAAACACATTTCTCAAGAACTAAACAAATAATATCACCTTACTTAACTGCAGAATACTTTTTCATTTTATGAATATAATGTAATATTTAACCACTTAAACTACAGGCATTATTAATTTTTTATCATTGTACTTCCAGCAAGCATTCTTTTTATGCATTTTTACTCAATTATTTTCTGTACAGAACAGCAAAGACTTGAAAATAATTATCCTACAGTAGAGCATAGATTAAAACATTATGGTTCATAAATATAATGACATCATGCTGCCGCTGAAAATTAATCATGTAAATCTCAATGAAATGTCAGGAAAATACAAAGGGACTTCAAAGTCTATGGAAAAGTGGAATTAAAAGATAATAATAAAAATCTATGCTTTATTTTTCAACATAAGCTCCATCAAGTTCAAGACACTTTTGTAAGTTATGATACCCACCATAGTCCATTCCTAAAGAACTGAGAGTCCTAGGAATTTAACCATGTCAGTACAGTATTTCATACATTATTGAATGAAGAAAAACAGATGCTCTTTAAAGATTTTTAAGATTAGGAAACAAAAAGAAGTCAGAAGGAGCCAAATCAGGACTTTAAGGTCAATGCCTAATGATTTCCCATAGAAACTCTCGCAAAATTGGCCTTGCTGTATGACAGGAATGAGCAGGAGCACTGCTGTGGTGGACTCGCTGGCAAAGCTTTCCCCAGTGTTTTTCTGCTAAAGCTCTGGCTAACTTTCTCAAAACACTCATAATAAACAGATGTTATTGTTCTTTGGCCCTCCAGAAAGTCAATAAGCAAAATGCCTAAGCATCCCAAAAACTGTTGCCATGACCTTTGCTCTTGACCATCCACTTGTGCTTTGACTAGACCACTTCGACCTCTCGGTAGCCATGGCTTTGATTGTGCTTTGTCTTCAGGATCATGCCTGTAAGGCCATGTTTCATCTCCTGTTACAATTCTTTGAAGAAATGCTTCAGGATCTTGATCTTGCTTGTTTAAGATTTCCATTGAAAGCTCTACTTGTCTGCAGTTGATGTGCACACAACAGGTTTGGCACCCATCGAGTGGCAAGTTTGCTGAACTGTAATTTTTCAGTCAGGACTGTGTAAGCTGAACCAACTGAGATGTCTATGATGTTGGCTATTGTTTCTGCTGTTAGCCATCAGTCCTTTCCAGTTAGGGCACGAACGAGACCCATTTTTTCCTCACAAATGAATACGGGTGGTCTGCCACTGGGCCTTCATCTTCAACATCACTTCATCCCTTCTTAAAACAAGCTCTCCACTTATAAACTTCTGATTTCTTTGGAGCATCATCCCCGGAAACTTTTTGTAAATCATCAATGATTTCACCATTTTGTAAATATGATGTTTGTTCTTGCTTCAATTTCAGCAGAATTCCTGTGGCTGTGATAGGGGCTCTTTTCAAACTGATGTCTTACCCTTCTTAGTGCCTCACACTAGATCCTATTCAGACATGTATAACAAGTGAACACAAATTTATTTTAGTGCAAAAAATTTTTGAAATCCATAGTTTTTTCAGAATACATTTTCCATGAACTTTTTGAAGACCCCTCATATACCCAACACAGTAGAAAATCTTAAGGCTACAAAAATTATGAATAACATTCCTTTATGTGAGGATATCTTTCTTCCTCACTCCTCATTCCCTCTTTCTGAAGAGGGAGGGAAAGAGAAAGAGAGAGAGGGGTTGCCAAAATGATAAGTGATTTTTTTCTTGGTGGTGGAATTTCAGGAGATTTTAATAGCCTTCTTTGTACTCTTCTGTATTTTGGGGGGGGCGGGTATATGCAACTAACTGTACTGTTTTTCATAAGAACTTTATAAAGTATTGAGTGAAAAAAGGAAATTTACTTTCCCATAGGTGTAATGTTTGAATTTAAAAATGTACATATGAGTACTATAGCCAAATTAATAACAGAAAAAGAAGTTGGAGGACAACCACTACCTAATTTCAAGATTTAATGTAAAGTTAGAGTAATCAAGACAGTGAAGTACTGATGTAAGGATAAAGATAAATAGAACAAACTAGAGAGTCCAGAAATGAACCCACACATATATGGTTGATTCTTGACAAGTGGGGAAAGAAGAGTCTTTTCAACAAATGGTGCTAGAACCAACAAAGGAATGGGAAATCAACTTCGACTCTAACTTTACACCACAGACAAAAAATAATTCGAGATGGATTATAGAAGTTAAGTGTAAAAAACTTCCTGAAAAAAATATGGGAAAAATCTTTGCAACCATGAGACAGGTAAAAATTTCTCAGGACATATAAAGGAGGAACCAGTTTAAAAATTGGAAAATTTGGGGCCGGCCCGGTGGCACACTGCTACAGTGCGCCGCTTGGGAAGCGCAGCAGCGCTCCCGCCGAGGGTTCGGATCCCACATACAGACCGGCCGCTTACTGGCTGAGCGAGGTGCGGGCGCAACACCGAGGGTTGCGATCCCGTTGCCGGTCCCCGGTACGGGCGCGACACCGAGGGTTGCGATCCCGTTACCGGTCAGTAAAAAAAAGACAAAAAGGAAAAAAAAAAAATGCATACAAGAGGCCAAAATAAGTGAGGCCACAGGCACTTTCTTTCTACTGTATTGACCAAATGCGAGAATAAAATTTTCAATATCCAGATTGTGTAGCAGATTATTTAACCTTGCCCAGAGGGAGGTCTGAACTTTGGTGTTGGCTGTCTTGGAATGCCATGCTGGTAGGAGTGTCCTTCTTGCATGGGAGCCTCAGGTCCCGCTGGATGATCTAGTCACACCCAAAAGTAACAGTGTGACTTGGGGTAGGGGCTTTGGGTCACATGGTACTTTTGACCTGTTGACTGAGATCAACCCCATGGGCAGTCAATCAATCCATACCTATGTGACAGACCCCAATAAAACCTCTGAATGCTGAGATTCAGTTGAGTAATCTGGCTAAGGCTCCCTGCCCGCTGTGCTGACACCCTGAGCAGGGAGAGGACAGGGTAAGCCCCACCTGTGTATCTTCCTTTGGTTGATTTTAGTCTGTGCCCTTTTCTTTTTTTTTATTTGTTTTTTAAAAATCTGTCCTTTTTAGCTATAATAAACTGTAAATGGGAGTGTAACAGCTTTGAGTTGTTAGTTCTTCTAGCAATTTATTAAATTTGAGAGTGACTTTGGAAACCCTCAAACTCACAACAGAATTCAGCCAAAAGGGCAACACTACAGAAATCAGCCAAAAGGGCAGCACTGAGGGGACCATTCCCTCTGACTTCTCAGTTGTCTAAGCTCTAAGTTTCTCACAGATTGTACAGTAGAAAGTAGAATATATATCCTCAGTGAAATTCTAAACGGTATTTACTCAACCTAGTTTTTATTAAGAATTGAAGAAGTCTGAAATTAAATTTTGTGTGCAAGGATCTGGAAGGGAGAAGTTTGGTGGGGCAATCAGCCCAGCCAAGGGAGGGCTGACAGTCATTCCTGCGGGTCCACACCCAGCCACTCATGCTAGGAAAGGGAGGCATTGTCAGGATAGTCACCAGGCATGATCCCTCTGCACAAACCCCACTTCCCTGCACAAGTCCTGGACGTTCTTATTCTAAACCTTAGTAACAAAGCATGAGATTCTAACTCTCAAAAGGTTTATCTGAGCAAATGTTTACTGAGATCCAAACATATCTTATGAATCAGTAAAAAAATATTTCCTCAAACTTTTATTTTCCTTAACAAATAAGATCAGCCAAATTAAGTTGAACAGAAGTTTTTATGGGGAGGACCAAAAAGAAGAGGCAAACTTCATGCCAAGAACAGCTTGAGAGAGACAACAACCTTGACCGGAAGGCTGAGAACAGCAGGGAACACTAAGAAGCTGAGAGAGACAGAACAGGAGAGGTGGGGAGCCACAGGCGAGCTGCGTCCCATAGGTCTGCCTGGCAGCCGAGCCACACCTGTTTTAAGAAGGCCAGTGCTTCTCTCTCCTCTCCCTCCTGCACACAAAGCCCATGAACCTCCAGCCAATACTTCCTGTGCCACAGTTCACACAGGTTTTCGTGCACTAGCCTATTAATTAAACTAGTATTTATCTATTTATAACATTGCTCCAAATAAAACTTATGTGAATCCTGGGTTTCCCATCAGCACCAGTCTAGGCAGTTCCTTGGCACCTGGCCTGCACTGCCAGTATTTCCAGACTCCTCTGGATGCTTGAGACATCCTGAGCCCAGTGCTCAGAACCATAAGCACAGGCAATTCTCCTTGGCCAACCAACACACGCTTCTAAGGGGCTCTCCCTACTCTTGAGGTAATGCAACACACAAGCACCTATCTTCTCAAGACAGCTGGCCCTCATTTCCCAGGACATGAGCTGCTTGCCTGCCCCCGCCCACCCGCCAGCTCAAGGGAGCCCTTCTCTTCACCTCCTTACCCCCACATCGTCACTGCACTGCACTTGCTCCAGTCTCGGCTCTGAGGTTCTCACCAAATTTGGTACCTTCGTAGCTCTCTTTCAATCCCAATGACACCCATGTAGCTGATCAACAGTAAAACTTTCTGCTTTAAATACTACAAAAGCTATCAACTTGTATTTATTTTTCAAATGTGCATGTACAAGATTAGAATATAATTCTTTGTGTGGAAAAAATATTTTTAAATGAAAGTTGGATTTGCAGTACCTGTTTCAGGAAGGATTCCAGGGCTGAATGTGCAGCTTTTTTCAATTCAACATTTGTATGGCTACAACATTTTGACAGTACTTCAAATAAAGAAACGTAGTTGTCCAGAAGGCAGGTGCTAAATTGAGATGCGTGCAGGGTGAATAAGCGTAAGCCAGCTGCAAATGCAAAAACCGTTGTCTTTAAAATAGGACAACATATGCCAGAACAGAGGACTAAGAAAGCTTTGGGTATATGTCAAAGCTAAAACTGTGTTCATGAAGACCTAGCACCATCGCATTATGATAACCCAGGGATGCCGGTCAGAGCTCTAATGCCACCAGCCTCCAACTGAATTAACAGGCCCATGACTTTACCGACAAACCCCAAAACAAGGGTCAGAAGTAGGATCAGAATTTATTTAGGCAAACTCAGAATTGAACAGCCTGGATCCCCTGAAAGATGCCCTAAAAAAAAATTTTTTTTTAAGTCATGTAACCTGAGTATGGCCATCTCAATCAGAGCTTGTGAGAGAAAAACAAGGTCCCAAAAGCCTCCCTGTAAAAAACTATGTGCAAAGCATCACAGATATGATCACATTTACTGTCATTTGTAGTTCAAGCAAAAGCTTACTTGAGATGTTAATGTGGTAATCTAAAATATTATACCTCATTAAATACAGAATCTTACCTAAGAGCACAGCATATCTCTTCAGATCAATCTATTTCAGAAAAAAAAAAACACCATCAATGTTTGAAAATCACAAGCTTCAACTGTAAAAGAATTAGAATAATATTAATCCTACCTGAGGACGAATTGCCTTTAGTGCAAAATCAAAAATCTCTCTTGATGTCTGGGGATCTGGAAATAACCAAAAGAAGCCTCTGTTACAAATGCTAACAACAGTGTCACCTGACATACTTTACCAATGACTTTACAACTAACTGCTTTATTTCAGACAGCCAGACATCCGTATTAACCCTAACAGTCTCCTGTGGATTCAGGAGCAGTATCTTCCATCAACCCATCCAGCTGGAGAGGTGCAAGTAATGACTGCTGCAGTTACTGCTGCGGGAAAATAGAAAGAAAATCTGCAGTAACAAAGACAGGGTTTAAATTCCAACTCAGCACTCATAAGCTCTGTTTTCTGTTATGTGTAAAGGGGACAGTATATACTTTCTATCAGGGTTGTTTGTGCAATTAAATAACTTATTCAAGGCCAAACACATGATTTTCTCCCAGTACTCCCAGGCATTTATTCAACACATAGTATATGATAAATTATTATGAGAATTAGAAATATGAATAAAATATGGTCTTTGACCTTAGTCAACTTATTACCTACAAGGGAAGATAAAACAGACACCTGGCTATAACATGAGGCTCTCATCCTGCCTGACCAGTGTGAGTTATTTGCATAATTGTCTCCCACCAGATTATTCATCACAGCTGCACAGAGTCATACTTTATTCATCACTGACTTCTCTGCCCTTGTGACAATGACTTGCAAACAGCAGAGGCTCAAGAATTGTTTGCTTTTATTGCAAGGACTAACATATTTTAAGGTAGACCCCAGAGGACTATGCGATAGGAGCTGGTGGGAGAATGAGGTCAATTACCATGTTTGAAGGATGATGCTGTAAGAGACACAAAAAAAGCTTCTTTGGAATTCAAGACAAACAGATTTATTCTGGCTGTGAGTATTCAAGAAGGCTTTACCAACATGGTAGCATTGAGCTGGGACTGAAAGACGAGGTGTTAGCTGGGGAAAAAAATCACCCAAATAGAAAGTAACAGCATAAACACAAGTGTGCACACACAAGGGCACCAAGCACTGGTCGCTGTGCAGTGGGTCTGGAAGGAGTGGATCCAGCAGACACAGCGTGCAACTTCCACTGCCAGCACGGGGAATGGAAAGGCTGTATCCACTAAGCAGTAACTCTCCTTCCCCATCACCCAGCCTCTGGTAACCTCTGTTGTATTCTGCCTCTATGATTTTGCCTATTCTAGATCTTTCATATAAGTGGAACCCCACAGCATACGTCCTTCTGTGACTGGCTCATTTTACTTAGCATAATGTCCTCAAGGTTCATCCATGCTGCAGCTTGTGTCAGAATTTCCTTCCTTCCTTCCAAGACTGAATAATACCCGTTGTATGTACATACCACATTGTGAATATCCATCCCTATGTTGATGGACACGTAGGTTGATTCCACCATTTAGCTACTGTGGAAATGTTCCTATGAACATAGGTGTGCAAATTCTTGAGTCTATTTTTAAGAACCCTCTCTCATCCCCACATCACCCATCAGCCACACCCCATTTCTTTGCTCTCCTCTGCTGTAAGATTCTCTAAAGGGCTTTCCACAAATGGTCTCCACCCCCTCCTTTTCATTCGCCTTTGCTTCACTCTGGCAGTCCAGCATCTCCTGTGGCGATGGGCCCACTATGCCTGTCTGATCACTTTTCCCTAGACCCCCTAGCAGCAAAGTAGCCCTGCACTCCCTCAAGACTCCCTCCTGAGACCCTCTGCTAAGGCTCTCCACACCCACTTCCAGCTCACCTTGCTCACACTCATAGCTTTAAATACTGCCGATGTGCTGAACACTTCCACATTCAAGGTCTAATTTCTCCTACATGATCCAGTCTTACATACCCAACTGCACCAGACATCGAAGCCTGGATGTTCCCTAACTGTCTTCAATGTTAAAATGTACCCCCAAAGGACAGACAAAATGGACTCATTGTGGTTAGAAGAGACATTCAAATTGTTAAACAGAACTAAATGGCCGCAGCAAGAGGGAAAGGACAGACAGGTATTACTCAGCGTGACAGTATGTATCTCACTGTTAAGAAGTTTTCTGTAACTAAACAAAGGCAACTCTCAGAAGATAAGCTGAAATCAGCTACAGCTGGGAATCTACGACTTCACTGACCTTCAAAAGTCCACCTGGTGCCAGCCACTGCCCCCTCCTTCTCATTCTTGAGGGCCCACCATGGCTACAATTAGACAGAAACAGACTCCAAGGGCATTGTTCTCCCCCTTCTCTGATAAAAGAGGCCACATCGAAACCAGCCACGGCCAGTTCATAGAGCCTGCACAATCACACACCTTTGTTGACATGTTCAGTCACTGCGTACATGTACGGCCTTCTCCATAAATGTACACAGCATTCCTCTAAGCTCACTGAATATGCATATGAACATATATTGGAAGGCATAAATACTAGCCTTCCTCCTTTGTTCCCAAGAGTGCTTATCTTGGGTCCTGCTGAGGACTGTGCTCCACAATCTGTAGATTGCAACCCTCAGTGTCGTCCCCGCACTGGACCGGGACCGGCAACGGGATCGCAACCCTCGGTGTTGCCCCCGCGCCTTGCTCAGCCAGTGAGCGGGAACCGGTCTGTATGTGAGATCCGAACCCTCGGCGGGAGCGCCTCCGCACTTCCCAAGCGGCACACTAGCGCAGTGCGCCACCGGGCCGGCCCCCTATGGTCCTTTTTTGTTAACACCAGTTAAACATGCCCAACACAAAAAGCCAAGATTCCGCCTGAACCACAGTTCTCCCCCATCCAATTCAGCCTAGTAATCAGTGCACAGTCCTCAGTTCCTCACTACCACATTCAGGAGCAAAGCCTCTCAGTCCTACACTCACACGTATCCCACAACTAACAGCAGTCAGGTGGACCCTTGCAAAACATCTACTGGTCCATACACATTCCTTATTGAAGAGCCATGGCCTCCACTGTCTGAAATGAGATCCTAGCTCAGAAGCCCCCCATACAGACCCTGCGCCCTTCCCAGTTTCACCCTGGACCAGAGCTCTGCCTGCCTCTGAACTCTAGACACACAAACTCTCTCGGACCCTCAGACCACTACATGCCTGCCAGGTGCCGGCCAATCACTCTGCCTGGAATGACTCTTCCCCAGCTGGCTTCTTCTCATCCTCCAGGTCACAGAGTCTGTGTCAGGTCTCAGAAAGAACACTGTGTGCATCTTCCACTCTCCACGCGCTGGCATTCCTGCTCACTGCACCCCACGTGTGCACATCAAGGAGCCCTGGAACAGCCTGTCCTCCTCTTTGTTATCTGTCTCCTCCACTAGCCTGAGCTTATGATGGTGGGACTTGGTGACTTAGACCACTGAACCCAATACCAAATTCATCACTCTTTAGATAGAAAGCACCAAGGACATAAATACTGTATGAATGAATTATCATTATAATTCACATGAGCATGGCATAACAGAAAAAGTATAAATTTTAGCCTCAGACAAAGGTTTAAACCCTAGACTTGCCATTTATTAGCTATGTTAGTTTCCTATCGTTGCTATAACAAATTACCACAAACTTAACAGCTTAGAACAACACAAACTTATTACCTTACAGTTCTGAAGGTGAGAAATCTGAAATGGGTCTCACTGAGCTAAAAATCAAGGTATGGGCACAGCTGTGTTCCTTTCCAGAGGCTCCAGGGAGAATCCGTTTTCTCACCTTCTCCAGCTTCCAGAGGCCACCCCAGCCTTGGCGCACGTCCCTTTCTATCTTCAAGGCCAGCAATGGCTAGTCCAACCTTTCTCACATCTCCTCAATTAGACTTCCTCTTGTGCCTCACTCTTCCACATTTAAGGACCCTTGTGATCACAGTGGGGCCACGGGATAATCCAGGACAATCGCTTTATTTTAAGGTCAGCTGATTAGCAACTTTAATTCCCCTTTACCATGCAGCATAACAGGTCCTGGGGACAAGGATGGGGACATCTTCGGGGTCCATTATTCTGCCCACTCTTTAGAAATGTAATTCTTTAGTGATGCCATTGTGTGATTTTGGGCAAGTTACTTGTCAGTTTCAGTCTTCTAATTTGTAAGACAGCAATATTAACACCTGTATTACAGAGTTACTACAGGAACCTTCCTTGCAGTGTGTCTAGAATAGGCTTTAGCACATGGTAAATGAGCAATAAGTGCTATTACTTTTCTTAAACTATATATGTCCAATGAGAGCCAATTTATAAGCCAAGAAAATATACAGACAAATATGCAACACTACCTGTTGCCAGGGTCAAGGGACAGAAGTAAACGTATAGCCTGGTAAATTAAAAATACAACATATACAGCTGTACACAAAAATACAAAAATATAGCTGTAACAGAGAAGAGTACAGAAGCCAGAGGAAGTGACTAAGCACATAAATTCTTTATAAAGGTGATGATCTTTGAATAAGAACCTGATAGAGTGGGAGCAACAGGATGTAGGAGAGATGACAGAGAAGACAAAGAAAGGAAAGTCACCTAGGGCTGTTCCAATATTCTCGGCAAGAAGCAATACAGAAGGGTTGAGCAGAAACAGAGGAGGTACAAAAATTTGGCAATTACTTGAATATAAGTAAAAAGAAAGAGCAAATAGTTTTTTTTAATATAAAAAGAATCTTTTAGGGTTAAAAGTTTTATTAGCCTTTTAAAAAGAAATGAATTTCATATTGCTTATATTGGTATCAGTTAAGATTATTTAAGAGTTTCTCTAGGGGAACATTGTTGATACCTATGAAGAAAAGTATATTAAGCAGAATTTAAGATCAATAGGTAAGGATCCGTGTCTTAAGAATTACAAAATGCTGATGAAAGAAATCAAAGAAGACCTAAATAAATGGAGAGATATATCACATTCATGGATTAGAAAACTCAACATAATAAAGATGTCAATTCTCCCCAAAATGATATATTGGTTTAATGCAATGCCTATGAGAATCCCAAAAAGGTTTTTTGTAGACAGACAACTTACTCTAAAACTTATAATGGGTTGAAGGTGACCACTACAATGATCCTGCAGGGTTGATGATAATGAAAGCCACCACCATCTTGGA